CCATGCTGTGGCGGCGTCCCATATAAAGTAGAGGAAGATGGGCACAGATGTTAGCCCAGGGCCAATCTTCCTCAGCAAAAAGAGGAGGATTGGCACCAGATGTTAACTCAGGGCTAATCTTCTTCACAAAAAAAAAGCTAAAAAATTCACAATTGTCTAAATAAATGTCCTTGAAAGGATTTTCTGTCTTGTCATTCATGGTTTTTGAATCACAGAATGTTTGTGATTTTTTTTCTCCTTTACCTACTCATGCATAAAATTTAGTTGTACCTAGAGTGCTAAATTTTCACTATTTGCATTTTATGGTCTTATTATATTAGTTAATTTCATTGTTTTGTGAGGAGATATTGGGTTTTAAGCAGTGTCAACTTCAAAGACAGATTTCAAAGTGTTTTCTCCCTTCTGTCTGGTTCCGTAGTTAAAAGATTTTGTTTTATTTTGTTTTCTTTCTCTTATAAAGTTAAAGGATTCAAAATTACTGCAATTGGATTGCGGAAGTGAATTTTCATCAACTATGGCTAAAATTTATGTGACTGAATATGCTTACAGTAAATTATTTTAAGCTTTAAAGACACTTTTCTTTCCTTTGCTCTAACAGGACTGGACCCCCTCTGGACCCTATTCCAAATAGAGATGTTCTCTATAAGTAGCACGTTCCCAAGGGGCGTGGTTTACTCTTATTTGTTGTGACTATAACTTATAGCATAGTGTTTTCAGTTGAATAGGTACTCCTAGCCACTGTTAAAGTAATTGCTATAGTAAACATTGAAAATTGTTTTAGCATTAGATATTTATACCCTGAATGTTACAGAGGACAACATAGGCAGTAATCATAGCTCCATTTTGATAATGGAGTTATGTGTTTTAATAGTGGAGCTATGTGTTTGTTCATTGGAGGTCTAAACTTTCATCTTGATGTGTTTCCAAAACTATTTTATTAAGAAAGTAAGTAGTGTTAATATGTAGTTATTTTGCAGATAACAAAATATAAATGGTGTGTTAATAGCAAAAAAAAATGTGTTTTCTGAAGTAGCCAAAGAACATTTTGACTATAAATGGACACGTTAGCTTATCTTTTCATCCCAGTACTATGGAATAACTATTTACTTAACTTTTACTTAAAATTGGCACCATTAAGTCTTCAGTAGGAAGAAGATAGTAAAGAAAGCTGTTTCCTATTTCCCTTCTTCCTATGCTAAGTATTCAGTGATCACTTACTACCTTTATCTAAATCTTTCTGAATAATTTTAGTGCATTTTATGAATTAAATTATCTCTATATGTTATACCTGGGTAAATTTTACTTTGTTATTTTGGTCGAAACGAAATATCTAAAACGAGAGAATGTTTGAAAGTTTCTTAATGAAGCGAATTGACTTGTAAATTTTGCAGTAGTTTGTTACAACAATAGAATAGAAATTTTCAATGTAAGTTCACAAAATAGGTCTTGAATTGAGTTTTTAAAAGAGCGATTTTAAATTACATAACCCGAGTTAACGTTACTGATATCTAAGAACCGTTAACAGGTATACCAGTCACTCATCTAAGTTTTCATGTCTTCCTTCAAGTGGTTTGTTTTCTCCGTCATCCGATGACTGCCCTGCCAATATATGTTCTCCTTTGTGACAACGCTGGTTCCAGTTTCCTTTTATTGAGGTCATGGTTGTCGGGAATAGGCAAAGCACACAATATGCTTCGTAGATTGTGGTGACAAAAAGGAATCCTTGACTTTCTAGATGGGCATTGTCCAACACAACTTTCTGTGATGATGGAAATGTTCTGTATTTGTACTGTCCAGTTATGGTAGCCACTAGCCACATGTAGCTATTGAGCGCTTGAAATGTAGTTTATGAATTCGATAAACTGAATTTTTTTTCTTTTTTTTTTTTATGAGGAATATCAGCCCTGAGCTAACTTCTGATGCCGATCCTCCTCTTTTTTGCTGAGGAAGATTGGCCCTGGGCTAACATCCGTGCCCATCTTCCTCCACTTTATATGGGACACCGTCACAGCATGGTGTGACAAGCGGTGCATCAGTGCACACCCAGGATCCGAACCCCAGGCCACGGAAGCGGAGCGTGCGCACTTAACCTCTTGCACCACTGGGTGGCCCTCTGAATTTTTAATTTTATTTAATTTTAATTAAATAGCCACATATGACTTGTGGCTGTCGTGTTGGACAGTACAGTTCTAGATGACCAGATTTAATCAGCGTCATTTGTTTTCACAGGTGATATATAATTTTTGCATATGTGAACTTTTACATCACAAGTAACAGCTTTTTCAGATTTAAAGGAATTTTCATTATATCTCAGTAAAGCTAGAGAAAAAGAAAAAGAAAAGAAATATTAGCTCAAGGAGTCAAGTTTGATTTGGATCCAAAGCCCCAAAGCCTAATTCTTATTTAGTTGCCTAACTTCAGAATGTCTCTGTAAGTATGTAAGCCGAAAAAGAAATAAGTAATGTAAATAAGGAGTCCTGTAATTTGTGACTTATACTTCTTACTGGCAGAAGCTTGCCAAATGGGTGAAATAATTCTGTGTTTGTCATTCCTTCAATAAAAGAAAACAATGCCTAAAGACAGAGAAGTCCGTGCCTTCTGGAGGTAGTCCGTATATTCCTAATCATTATGGATTAAATGCACAAAAAATATTCACTGGTGTAGCCTGGGCAGGGGATAAAAAGGTAAACATTTAAAAGAATACTTTGGTTATTAAAGTCAACATTCAAACTGATAGAATGGGCTATTGCTAAGCAGAATAATGATTTGAGAATTATTAATGCTTTTAAAATGTCAAGAAGGCTTGCAGTAAAACTGAAATCTAAATATAACATTCTTGATTTTGTAATCCGTTTCATACTTACTAAAAAAGAATTTTAAGATGTTTGGAAAGAATGTTTCTGTACTAAGTTGTTTTGTCTTTATTCATATTTAGTATCAAAATGCCCTTTCTCAAAATCAAAATGATTCCTAAAATATTTAGATCACTAGAAAACAATTGTTTTAAATTCAAATGAATAAACATCATTTTGCATTTTGTTTTAGAAATTCAAATCAGTCAATTAGTATGGTTTTGTAAAATTTTATGTAATTTTATTAAGCCATTGTGATTTTCTCATTGTTGTGCAGTATTTGGTTTTAGTTTGTACTTTACTGCTTTTGGATTAAGTTATGAGTTTCTCTGTTTGCCATTTTGCTGATATTTGCTTCCTGATGTTGAGGGGACTGGTGCTGGGAGCATAGAATTGAATAAAGTTTGATGGCAGCAAACTATTTCACCATTAAGATATATTCATGCTATCTTGAATTGAACATTAAAAAACTAGTTGTGCAACCTAGCAGTCAGTGATTTCATTTAATGCTGCCAAAGGTGTGAGGTAAACTTACTCCTTGGCGTCAGAAATGAAGTACTATCCTTGCTGCTTTTACTGTCCTCATGAGAGTAAGAAACTAATGCCCCGTTCCCATTAGTTGGAACTAACAAATACTGTGCGTTTAAGGCTGACTTAATTAAAGAAGGAATAGAGGAATATGGGACTAAATAAATGAGACCTTTAGAAAAGTATTTGAAACAACAGAGACCTTAAAATAGGAAATTGAGGTTGAAGAGAGGATAATGAGGCTAGATAGTAGATCAAAAACATTATTTTTAAAGAAACAATTATCTTTACATAAATGATGTGCATACTTTTTTTATTTTGCGAGGAAGATCAGCCCTGAGCTAACATCCATGCTAATCTTCCTCTTTTTGCTGAGGAAGACCGGTTCTGAGCTAAAATCTATTGCCAATCCTCCTCCTTTTTTTTCCCCCAAAGCCCCAGTAGATAGTTGTATGTCATAGTTGCAAATCCTTCTGGTTGCTGTATGCGGCCTCAGCATGGCCGGAGAAGCAGTGCATCGGCGCGCGCCCGGGATCTGAACCTGGGCTGCCAGTAGCGGAGCGAGCCCACTTAACCACTAAGCCAGGGGGCCGCACCATGATGTGCATACTTGTGTATTCCCTGATATGATAGATTTTACAGTGGACTTAAGAAAGCGGTTTGGCTCAATTAGACCAGTTCCCTTTATCTTTAAGGGTGGGAAGTCGAGGGAGAGACAAGCTCAGCTGCTATGTACATCTCTGACCTAGGCTCTGATTTGACCTAAGTCTGTCTTGATGCAGCAGCACAGGCCAGCGAGGAGGCGGTGGCATTTCGCCGTGAACGCAGCACATTTAGGCGCCAGGCAGTGCGGCGCCGGCACAATGCAGGGAGTAACCCTACCCCTCCTACATTGCTCATCGGATCACCCCTAAGGTATGGTATTTTAAAATTCCACCAAGTTTAGCTTGCTTGCATGTAACAGACCTTCTAACCTGTTCTATCAGTCCCAAGAAAGCATTTAAATAGCTTTGTTTTTCTTTTTCTTCCAGTCTCTCTCCTATACTTTTAAGCTCTTTAGGCTTTCTCTGCATGTGAACATGAGTCTATTGCATTATGCATGCCTTATGTTGCACTATTTAAACAAAATGATCAGATTGGTTTAGCCAATTTTACATGGTAAAATCAGTTTAGGACAGTTCTAGAAATTTAAGTAGAGGCCTTAGGTCAGCTTTTCATTTTTTTTCTAGTCCAAATTAATATTAATACAAGATCTTTCACCAACATCTTGACAGTATTTAATATGAACAAATATGAACTGAACGGTGAGCTTGTTGAGGAATAACAGATAACTGACCTCAGCTTGATAAGCCAGTTTGATTGTTTTATTTCACAAAAATATGTTTTATTTTGTATTGCTTAAAAACTGATGTCTTATTTCCAATAATCACCAGGACCTAGTAGATAATACAGAACTAAACTATTTAATTTATGGTAAAGTATGGCCAATTGGATATATATATTTATTTGTATGTATTATCTGTGTTGAATTTCTCAACCTCTATAGTGTACTGAACAAAAAACATTTTTAATTTTTTCTAATATTCCTTATTTAGAAAGCATCTATTTATAATGTTGGGAATAATTTTCCATTAACACTTGAGTAGGTGTTTTATTCTCAATTGTGTCAAATCGAATGAGTCTATGTCTTGAATTAGAAATATAAAAATCTATTCAAAAATTTGTGCTTTATTTTAAGAACACAAACGTGGACAAAAATACATCTGCGTGCTTAAGCAAGTGTGTATATTGTACCATATACTTTATTAATCTCTGTGTCCAAAAGCACCATTATCCAAATTATTTTCCTACATTTTAATTTGGAATTCAAAAGGAAGAGCATGTACTGCTGTTGAATGCATGGTGGATTGGGAGAAACAACCCCTTCCCTTGCAAAATCTTGTTCTTGAGAGTAGCAGATTCCTTATTTCTTTATTTTATTTTCCCCTGGAATTTAAGACTTGATTATCTTTCTGGATTTTACATTATAATCAGGAACTTCATCTTTTGGAGGTCATGTTCCTAATTAATCCTGCAGTAACACATAATTCTATAAAAAGTAGTATGGATTAGTTAAACCAATATTTAAAAAGTAAAAATGAGAAGGCACCAGTTAAAAGAAACATTTGGTCTAGAAGCCTTTGCCTTTCGTGAGCCCTCCTCTGCTGCTGCTTCTCCACCCTTTTCTTTGGTCCCTGAAGTAACTTTTCTTTCTGCTGATGGATTTGGGATCTCGTCCCAACCTGCAGAAAAAGCTCAGCATTTCATTTTACTTTTTCTATTTTATGTTTTCTAACCTTTTCTTTTTGGCTCCTTGAATAATTCTTGCCATAGACATCTTCTTTACTTTCTAATTCACTCCGTGTTGATGTTTCTTAAAATCCTTTTTTTAACCTTCTCTTTTTAGTCTTTAAACATTCTTTTATCCTTTGCCATAAGTGAGGCTGCTGGATCCCACTCACCAAACAAATGTAGACAAATCAGCTTTTTTCTCTGCCTGGTGGAATGTTAAAGAACTGTGTTCTAACTCCAGCCAATCATGTAGAAATTCTCCATGTTTTTGTAGGGTTTTAAATACATCACCATTCAAATGAAGATATGGTGTGAAACTTATCTGTAAAGGGTTCACGTTAGCATTTTTGGAAAGTAGTCTTCCGTTAGTCAGCTTGTGCATTTGTAGATGTTCCAGGATATTTCCAGTACAAAAGTTGCATGTATCTTAAGTAGGCTGACTTCATCATGGATGAAATAAGAAAAAATGTAGCTGTGAGGAAATAGGAGAAACACCAATTTAATAAAATCATCTTTTTTAATTGCAAAAATAATCAGGTAAAGTATATTGGTGTTAATTCTCAGTGTGACTAACGTAATAATCTCATCTTTAAATTTAGGATGGCATGGTCGTGCAAAACTTGAAAAACTTGTTTGTCAAAAAGAAATGGAATAGGTGTGATAATTGCAATTACTATATAAATACTAGTAAAATCTACTAACATTTTAAACTTTAATAAATAGTTTAAGTAATTGACAATCTAAAAAGCAACCTGGTAAAATATATGTTATTTTACCCAAGGATTGAGAGTAAATCATCAAATTTCCTCACAAAGAGGATTTGCGTATATTTTTTATGCTTGTTAGAATATCCTGTTGCAGAATTATTTTTAAAAGTATTTTTTTCGTTGTTAGCTTTGTAGGTAGGTTTTGTAGGCCTTTGCTAGCTCTTCCCAATGACTAGAGATAAAAGCAAAGATGAATATTTTAAAATTTTATAATACTAATATTAAGAGTTAGTTCTGTATTTATCTATGTTTATCAACCTAAATGCGATATCTTTTAGAACTCTAGTTAATGGACTGGAATGAAAAGAAATCATCAGTGCATTTTGGGGAAGAGAAAAAGCTTTAGTGTATTATATTTATTTTTAAAAGTGTCATAAGATTGAAAGATCTGTAATCAAATAAAAGCATAGTAATAACTGGGAGTCCATGGTTAGGAATCCATACGGATCATTTTTTGGTGCTCAGGAATGAATCCACCAAATATTTGTTGTTTGTGGACTGTGTTCAAGACACTCTTCTGAGTGTTCCCTGGCATCTGGAGATTCATAGCAATAATGTGATTATGCTCTCCGAGTTTACTTTTTAGTTGGGGAGACACATACAAAGATAACTAACAGTATAAGGCGGAATGTGACGAATACTAAATAAGTGGTACAGAGGAAGGAAAGACAAGACCAACTATATTTTTCTATCATTTAAATTAGAAATGTTAATTAGTAAGATTGCATGTCAGCGATGCTATTGATAGCGATAGTTATAGACCTAAATTCCTACCTTTCCTTTTGATGTGTTGTAAAATAGTTGCTACCTTTTCTCAGACTGGTATTTAATTCGTACTCTAAAAAGATTAATTCTTGTCAATTATTAGTTAGCTTAAGGTAAATTACAGCCCTCCAGAAATAGTTTTTCTAACAATTTCTGCAAAAATGACAGGCTTTTTTGTTGTTTTTGAAGGATTTTGAAAACAGAAATTCAAGGGGCTTAAACATTTTATGACTAGCTTTTGATGTTCAAAAACTTGACTTTTACAACCACATAGATTTTGGCTATTTCCTTCGTTTCTTTATTCTGGAGTTGATTTTCATGCATTGCCTAATATTTTGAAAACTTTTTGTATATTTGGGGATGTTGAAGATTAGTTATTCTCAAATATATTCACATTAAAATACATCTAACTGCCATATAACACCTTTATGACTTTAAGTGAAAAAAATTGATAAAAAAATTTGAGTACATATTCTATAAAATTCTCTGTCTTCTGAATCTGAAGGGAAATAGTACTTGAACTACTCAGAATGTTCTCTTGTGAAATTTGGTCATTTTGGAAGGTTTGTGGATAAGTTTAGGTAGCTTCTGAGGAAGAGTAACAGACTTATTAGATATGTACAGAAGATGCAAAGGTATTTGATTGTATTAGTTCCCAAGACCATCTCTTGATTTATGTCTATTATATAAAGATTCTAGTCCAAAGGAGTTATTAAATGAATACTTTTATAGTTATGGCTTAAAAAAATAATGCCAGTAAGCATTGACAAGTCAACATTTTGCAGGCTTGGTTTTTAAATATGTTACATACATTCCTAAACTTTACTTGAGAGTGTGCTTTTCATTGGCTTTAAAAGAAACCTGAAAAATAAAGGTTCCAGGTAGTGGTGATTAATAGAACTTTCTGTGGTAGTGGAAATATTCTATAATCTAACACTAACTACTAGCTTCTGCCCACTCTGGTAACTTTAAGCTATGGTAGCCGCTAGCTGTGTTTTGTGGCTATTGAGCACTTGAAATGTGGATGGTGACTGAGGAACTAAAAGTTTAGTTACTTTAAAAATAGTCACATGTGGCTGCTGTATCAGGCAGTGTAGTTCCAGAGTGTATTCTATTGCCGTAACCACAGGCTTAAGCAATAATATGCAGTATTTTTTACTTAGTCTTTTATTTCATGGTTATTTCAAATTACACCTCTCTTCACAGTCTGCAGCAGATGAGTTTGTTGTTTTATTGGCATCAGATAAACCATTGCATTGAATTCAAAGTTTAGAGAGAAGCTGATACTCATGAAAATGATAAAGTAACTGAATGAGACCATCCTAAGTAGCATTCTTCTTTTTTTTCCCTAAAAGGTCTAATAATTTTAGTGACAGAATGCAGAGTTTTATTGAGCATCATGTAGAAGATGACAAAATAATTATACTCAAAATATTTTCATGAATTTTATCAGTTTAAATTTGTGTTGTACCAAGAACATTAAAATTCATAGTGTTTTAAAAATGTATATAAAAATATAAAATGAGTTAAGAATAGTTTCTTAATTTTAGATAATTTAGATAATTTTTATGAACAATTTTAATAAATAATAAATTTATAATCACAAAATACTAAGTATTTTAAATATTTATAAAATATAGAAAAGACTATAATATCCCTTGAGAAATTACTGGTTTCCAAATTATTTTAAAAATTTTATAAAATGATGGGTCCTTGTTCATGAAACTCTTATATGAATTGGAAAAGGTAATAACAAAATTGTTAAGGGCACATAATTATTATTAACTAACACCTTCTATATAAAGCCTGTGGCCTTATTTCAGAAATATGTACACTTTTCACAGAAAAAACACTTTATGCATATAAAATATATAGTTTATAACTTCTGCCAGCATCCCAGCAGTCATTTGAGTTTGACTTGGTTGAGTCAGTGTTTGTTTTTCTGGTTCTCTTGCCCTACTTTGTGATTTTCTTTTGATTCAAAATTGTCATCTTGGTTGCATTTGATAAAAATTCTTTTGTTTTCAAGTACTTAGAAATCTTGAGTAATTGTGAATTTGAAATTCCAGATAATTTGAAATAACAATTCTAGAATTATTATTATAAAGTTATGAATAGAAATGCATATTTAACTGAAAAACAGGGTTTATCTGTTGGGGACCAGCTACAACCCATAAATATTTAACGTACTCATGATTCTTCTTTGCTTCTTCCTTTTTCCTTATACTAGAGCTTTGTTGGCTTGAGGTGGAAAAAACTCACAGATTGATTGATTTATATATACATTAAATGTTTACTGTGTTCATCACCATGAATCAGATTTCTAAAGACCAGAATATTTAAGCTGGCAGTATAATCTATGTATTTTACAAAGTTTCTTGGCTCTTTCTTAGGTTACATTGAAAAAGATGTTTTTTTAAATCAGTTTTTTCTATATTGACTTCATTCTAGCTGTTGTTTTCTCTTTTCTTCCCTGTAATGTCTCCCCAATCCATGTTTTTTCCTAGCCTTCAAGATGGTCAGCAAGGCCAGCAGTCCACAGCCCAGGTCAGAGTCCAGTCCCGCCCCCCTTCCCAGGCTGCAGTGCTCAGTGCTAGTGCCTCCTTGCTGGTGAGAAATGGGAGTGTCCACTTAGAAGCGTCACATGACAATGCATCTGCTGTAGGCGGCAGCAGTGTGCACGATGAACTTGGTATGCAGGCCTTATGTAATCTTGGTGATAGAAAACTTGAAAGCAGCAGATAATGGGTGACAATGATTGCAGTTCTTTCTTGAGGTCGATTTGTTTTGGGACTATGCGTAAGAGCACTTTTTATAGAATTTGCCCTGTCTGTAAGGAAAATTTGACTGTTGCTTTTCCTTTTTCTGTTCCTTTCTACTCACATTCTACATTTTCTTTTGAGCATGTCCATTATTAATAGGTAGTTAAAAGTATTAATAAATGTTCATGCTTCAATGTTCTCTTATAATGATTTGGGCAATTCTGTTATTTCTTGGCATTTGTGCCATGTGGGAAAATGTTGATTTTTTAAAAATTATTTTCATTAAACCTTAACTTCTTTCAGTTAATCTGAATGTGCTATGGGAAAGGCAAAAATACTTTCTAATGGTCTATTACTATAGAATCTATATTTCTTTTTAGGTATTCTATATTTCACTTCAGTGTTCATCACCTAAAGTAGGACTTTACTATAATTCTAAATACAGTACTCAGAGGACATTATGGTTCTATACCAATATCAAATTATAACGTTGTAAAGTTTTTTCTTTTTCCTGTTAACACACCTATAAATATAAATAATAAGTTGTTAAGTAGTTAATTCCCAGAGAGGTGGTACAGTTTAAAACCTCAGTAATGCATATCCACTCAAATATCTGTTTTGTGCCTTAAAGACAATATTTTATACTACTTTAGTTTTTATTTCTTTGTACAATTCAGCTTTCTTGTGTTCAGAATGCAGATTAATAACAATTTAAGTAAATATAATGAAGAAGAAAATCTTATTCAGAAATACCCATTTGAAAGCATTACATTTGCTCACCGTGATTTTGTTTATCCGTGTTATAATTGCCGTTCATTTATAAATATGATAATCCAGTTGTTGCTTTGACTAGAAGGATATGTGGTGTAAGGTGCCCAAATTATGTATAATAAAATCTCATATGCTATTTATTTTTGACTCTTTTCCCAATTTGTAAAAATCCTTGTTACAGAGAGATATTAATAAGCATTAGATATGCATATTGATGAAAATAATTGTCTTTAGCAAATCTTACAGAAACTTGAAAATGATCATCCAAGATATTTATAACATTAGAATGTTTGGTGATTTCTAAATAAAATGAGAAGGAAATAAAACATTTTAATTTTAGAATGCTTTTGCTTTTGGATTTGTAATTTGAAGAGGCCAGGGAGTCTATAAGGAGGGTACTTGAGAGAGAGTAAGGTAGACTTCAGTTACTTTATTTGACTTAAAACAGTGATGCTTTTCTAGTTGCAGATGTATTCAGTTATCTTTTCATTGATACTTCTCTCGCATTAACCAAAAGTTCCTGTGAAGAGGACTTTTCAATTTGTGCATATAAAATTACAGTCACCATCACTGTTGCCCATTGGGTTTATGGTAGTAGATTAGCTACAATAAAACGCTTAGTTTTGATCCACTGTGGATTTTTAGACTTTTGTCAAATCAAGCGTAAAATGAAACAGTAGATGATTTTCCTCTATAAAAATTATTAATTCACTCAAATAACTTGCTAAGAAAGCTTTAATTGTAAGGTCCTGTCCTAAATCCACTTGGAAATTATTGAAGATATGTACGTATGGACTGTCTTGACAGTTCTGAAGATAAGACTCTTCTGATTGGAAGTGACTTTAGCATCTGCTGGTGAATATTCAGAACACTCTCTTGAAATTTGGATTTTATCTTTTGTGTTAACTGCCTTCTGATAGCTAATTCTTGGCCTATGGTAGCTGAATACTGCCAAATTGAATGCCTGGTAATAATTAGCACAAAACAGGCAATCAACGGACAGTGTATACCTGTTCCATAGCACATAAAGTTGGCCAAAAGAGATTCTGAAAATGAACTGTAGCTGAACTTAAAGGAATTGTGGGTAGAGACACTGATTTTTATAATATATTCCACTAGAATATTTTTGTTGCATGGTGTAATTTTCTATGTGATTTTAGTTAACAGTAGTAAGATAATTTTGTGTGAATGCATTTGGGTACTATATACTCAAATATGTTCAAGTTAGCCATGGTATTCCCTAAAAGTGTGGAGTATTTACAAAGGAGTGCTTCCTTCCAAATTTAACTTCTTCAATTGAAAATTTTTACATGTGAAAATGTAGACATGTACATAATACATTTATATGAAACACTCATACATACATATATACACACTCATACGCATACAGACAGTCAAACTTATATGTACACTCATACATATGCATGTTTGAGTGCATAGAAATGTTTGTATATGTACACATAGATATGTGATAGTTGTGTGTTTATTTTTAAACTGAGGAATAGCCTTTTTGGATTAAAGGAAACGTACAGTCAGCCATTGTTTAATTCCAGGCCTAGGTAGTTTTCCTTAACTGGGTTTTCTACATCCTCACTCTGTGGTGTCACAATAGATAACCACATCCATTCCCTATACTAAACCCTGAGAATCTTTACTTCCCTGTTGCATTTTAACTAGCATTTCGGGGTTACCAGGTAGCATTAGACATGGTGGAAAAATTCATTGAAGATGATATTATAAGGATTTTATTAGTAGCTTATTCAGCAGAGGAAAATGTATTTTCATCATCTGTATTCAGCAGGCATAATTGCTAATCATAATTAATTTTAAAAACTGAATTATAAGTATATAATTTAGAACCTGGTTGGAGAAATTTGGCTTCCTTTCTTATTTGTAGACTTCATTTCCCTGCAAACTTAGTTAAAAAAACTGTTCGAATGATTTTTGAAGTTAACATCTTTGAAAAGGAAATTACCATCAAAGAATTTCTCAAATCCTTCAGTGTAACATGTTGCTCTTTAAAGAAAAAGAAAGCACATCTTAAAGGTCAGTTTTCTTCTCATCAGTCTTTCGTTGGACTTGTTTATTAGCAGTTGATTTCATACTGTTTTCTGAATTAAACTGCAGTACTACTAAGTAAAACGAGCTGTGGCTCAGTGCCCAGATAAGTTACACAAGAGACTCTGAATTCAGGTCAAGTTCTATTTTATGTCTGTTAAGCTTTTTCTATAAAATTTGGCAGTCACTTCTCAGTTTTTATGTTAATCCCAGGTCCTCTTGTAAGTTAAGACTAATAAATTGACATAGTGATGAAACATGCCATTATAGTTGATAAACTCTTCATATATAACATCATCTCAGGGGAAATAAATGTTCTAGATAAGATCAGATAAAACAGGAAAATTTATCTGTGTTTTTTCTGTGTATGAAATTAGTGGTGGTCAGCGGTGAGGATATGCTTTGAAAAAGTATATATAGAACTTTTATTTTCATGTGAAAAAAATATCTGTTATCATATAGACAAGGAATGAGGACAATGGAGTTTTCTGTTTATCAAGACATAAATATAAAATATATAAATATCATAGGTAGTGTTCCCCTGATGAATTTGATTGTCTTAATATCATTAATGTATTAGAGGTTCAAAAAGTGATGATTGAATTGGTTTTTCTAAGGTTTTCTTTTGTTTCATTACTGTGTACAAGGATTGACAAAGAAGGTATTCTTTGAGATAATCCACTTTACTACAGAATTTATCAACTTGAAAATGTGATTGGCTCTAGAAAAAGACTTAAAGAAAATCTGGCAGCACCGTATAGCCCTTCTTTTTTTTTTTTTTTTTGTGAGGAAGATCAGCCCTGAGCTAACATTCGATGCCAATCCTCCTCTTTTTGTTGAGGAATACTGGCCCTGGGCTAACATCTGTGCCCATCTTCCTCTACTTTATATGGGACGCCGCCACAGCATGGCTTGACAAGCGGTGCATCAGTGGGCGCCTGGGATCCAAACTTGCGAATGCCAGCCCCCAAAGTGGAGCAGGCGCACTTAACTGCTATGCCACTGCCTGTTGCCCTTCTTATTAAGCAGTTTATAGCAGCTATGCATTATTAAGCAGAAATATGATTTGGAGGCTTTTTTTTGTGTGTGTGTGAGGAGATCAGCCCTGTGCTAACATCCGCCAATCCTCCTCTTTTTTTTTTGCCAAGGAAGACGGCCCTGGGCTAACATCTGTGCCCATCTTCCTCCACTTTATATGGGACGCCGCCACAGCATGGCTTGCCAAGCAGTGCGTCGGTGCGCGCCCGGGATCCGAACCAGCGAACCCCGGGCCGCCGCAGCGGAGCGCGCGCACTTAACCGCTTGCGCCACTGGGCCGGCCCCTGATTTGGAGGCTTTTAAATTTTTTACTTGAAAAAGCAGAGACTCAGATGACTTATAATACTTTTAGTGATTTTATTAGAGTTAGTCTTTGGTGTTTAAAAAAGATTATTACGTACTACTCTGTAGCATTTTGGGCTATTTCCTCGTTACTATAAACACGGAGTCAAGAGAGCTATAAAGGACCTTGCAGTCTATATTTCAGTCCCCTATGTTATGGTAGAATATTTTCATTCATCTTAACAAAAAGTTATATTATTTTTACAACAACCTTGATCTTGTTTTTTATTGATGTTTTTGAGCACAAAAAATACTAAATTCATGGGCCAGCCCTGTGGCTTAGCGGCTAAGTGCGCGCCCTCCGCTACTCGCGGCCTGGGTTCGGATCCCGGGCGCGCACCGACGCACCGCTTCTCCGGCTGTGCTGAGGCCATGTCCCACATACAGCAACTAGAAAGATGTGCAACTATGACATACAACTATCTACTGGGGCTTTGGGGGACAAAAAAAGGAGGAGGATTGGCAATAGATGTTAGCTCAGAGCCGGTCTTCCTCAGCGAAAAGAGGAGGATTAGCACAGGTGTTAGCTCAGGGCTGATCTTCCTCACACACACACACACACACACACACACACACAAACACACAAAATACTAAATTCTATTTTTTGTTCTTTTTTGGGGGGAGGGCAACATAAAGTATATATAAATGAAAGTAAAATGTTTATTTTTATTGAAACAGTAAAAATGCTTCATTATATCTAGAAGGAAGAGTTGTTATGAGG